AACACTAAAATACTGTAAAGTGTTTTAACAATATAAAACTTGAGAATACATAACCAATATCCAGCTATGAAAATTTTTACAGTAATGGATAAATCTACAAACTCATCTCTGCCTTCTCATCTCTGCATTTGGGTCCTCAAAAACCTCCACACAACCATGACAAACAGAAATAAAATGTTTTATTAAATTTTACTTCTCTTTTTATTTTATTGTCCCTTTTAATTATTTTTTTTAAACATATTTTAAAATGTTTTTATCTTTTAAAATAAACTTTAATGACTCACTCACTTGCAGGGGTGCAGTTAGAGGTCCACTCCTATCCAATTACTGACCATAGCCAAGCCAACCATTCAATGTACTCATAATGCAGAACCATAAATGATTAAATGATTTAGACAGCATCCATTCATAAATAAATATAGATTCTTTTGCAAAGGATAGATCAAAATCAGATCTTTCTTCTGTGATTTACCTGGAAAATACAGATGTAGTACTCTTTAATTTTCCTGTTGGTACATAAATAATATATACCAAATAAAAATAACCTGAAAACTGTTTTCCAGATAGTGTTAACCAACTTTTCTGATCAACCATTAAGGTGACCTAGAGGGAAATTGATTGTTTGAGTTCACCATAAAGTGGATCAGGAATACTTTAATCGCAAACAAGCCTGTCTTTAAAAACTTATACGTATTTGCATTTTAATATCCATTGCTTTTTCTACTTTATACCTGTGTAATAGAGAAATAAGGCAAAAACATTGCTTACCTTTTCCTTAAACCTTGGTGTATCTGGGTTTTTAATTTCGTTTAAGAGATTTCCATGAATTTTGCTAATTGTTTCATTGGTCTCAAAACTACTTAGATATTACAATTCAAATCAAACCATACTTCATTAGCTACCTAATATTACATGTTTTTTATTTTTTTTTATTTTATTTTTTTTTTGGTTCTTTGACTCTTAACACTTTGTCACAATGATTATAGAGATCTAATTCGGTAGCTAGATATTGTGAAGCTAGATATCTTTTTCCTTCCCCTCTGAGAGCCTTACAAAACAACAGTATGTAGGCGGAAAATCCATACTGGCTAAACAGCTCTTGTTTAAGTACAAAATTTAGACCTTCCTGTTCTTTCTCTTTGAGGTCCTTAATTTAGTTTCTCTTTATTTTAAAAGCATTGCATTTTGTTGAAAACTACTGTTTTCAGTAAAAAAAAGTCTATGGCTCTGTTCGAAAACCTGGGCTGCATCCTCTAAGGACGCGGTCTACTTAGACTGGATCCTTCGAAGTCCTTGAAAATAAGGAGACCGGAAGAGTTTTGGCTGTGAATTCGAACAGGTCTACCCTTCGGCGGGTTTTACCGCCATAAGCTCTGTTGCTTAGCAACCGTGAAAGTGACACACAAAGCAGGAAAATAATGAAAACCGCAGTTTTCAAAACTGTTTGTTTATTTATTTCTTTTTTATTGTAAAGTGAACAAAGACTACATTAACAAGAATCCAGAGTGGAATAAATGTTTCAACAGCCGGGAGCAGGAACAAATAAAATCAAATGTAATGATAGAAACCTAAGTCAGTTAAATAACATGCTGCTGTCATTTTGCACAGCTCTGATGCTGCTGCTATTTTCAAATATCCATTACTGTAAAAATGTCCATAGCTGCTTATTGGTTATTTATTCTCCAGTTTTATATTGTTAATTCTAATTATGTTATTCTTATACATTTTCTCATTTGTGTGACCATTTTCAATATTCTTTCTGCCGCTGTAAATCTGCCCATTGTGGGACAATAAAGGGATTTTCTATTCTATAAAAGGGGTAGAAAGATATAAGTAAATCTAAACAATGTATGTATAAAAAATTATCTGCAAAATCTCTAATATTTAACAACAAAAAATATTTAGTTAAGCATATTGTGCAAAACAGCAATAAAAAGATAAAAATCCTATCAGATTTATAGTCCCTATTCTGCAGATATATTATAATCTGTCCTTAAATTACAGCCAAACTCATTTACACAGTAACAGATAAAAACCTTTAGATAAATCAAACATTACCGCCACATATTTGCCTCAATAACCATTAAAACAACTATTTTCATTCATCTCAGACGGAACTATTCACTGACTTGTATTATATTAAACAGAACTTCCAATTTTCACCACTGTTCGGCGCCAAGTAACCTTTCCTCTGATCACGGCTTGCTTGGTCTCGCAATGAATCCTGGGATATCCAAGGATACCGAGGATACATCGGACCCGTCCTTCAAATCGGGCAAAAAGAAGGATGCATTTTAAGGCCGCATAACCTCGGCGCCGCGCTATGACGTAATCATCCTTCAAATCTGGCCTTCTAAGGACGCGTCCTAGGTTTTCGAACAGAGCAGAAATGAAGAACAGAACAAAGGATGGGCTAAAGAGCTGGATGTGGAGCAGGTAATTAATTTCAAAATTCTATTCTACTTTTTGACCCTGTCAGAGTCTTTAAAACAACTTTCCCTGTTGTACAATGAGAATAAAAACATAACAAATACACTTATATGTTTTTTTTTATGGGGGGAAAAAGCAACATATAACCCTCTTTCAGCAATTCATTTATTTATTGAAACAACTTAATTACCTTATTTCATTTTATTTTTAACACATCTGATATACATTTCATATTTCTGGTTTAGTTTTTTTGCACCCTTTTCTGTAATTCCAGAATAGTTGGCTACAAAATTAAACTGTTTTTACTACCTAAACAAATCAATTCTTACTTTAAATTGCTCACACAGTAATGCAATATCTTGATGTAATCACACACTCTTTCTACAGCCTGTAAAATTAATATTGGGTTCCAATATCTCTAAATCGGTTAGATTCATGTAGGATTACAATCTTGCAGCCCTGCAGAAGATGGCAATTCTTGGCTCATTTCATCTGCAGTGGGAGATCCTTGTTTGTTTGATGAGGATGAAGCTGTGACAGAAGATGACACTTGTGGTTCTGCGATAGTTTTACCTAAAAAAAAAAAAGCATAACTTGCCTCAGTATCAGGTATATGAGTGGGTTCTCTATTGTTCCGGATTGTGCCTAATCACCTAGTTTCTAAAGTTTGATCACATTTAGAGTATCTCCTTAGATGTAACCAAAATGTGGTTGATATGAAGTTTTCTTGCCTTGACTCAATGATCCAACGATGCTCTCTGGTCCACCGTCTGAGCTAGCAGCCACCTCGTCTTCTGGGAAGTTAATGTTTTCCCTTGACTGGCTGTGCTGCCTGAAATCGCAAGCGAAAACTAATTTAATGCCTTTCTAGATAATTAAAGGTTCATGAGATTAAAAAGTACAAGTCTTATTGATCCCAGACTAATATAATAACTGTACCTACTCTGTAGATCCCAAATGAAATCATCAAATCACATCATTTAAAATATAATAATATAAAATAAAAGTCCCTTCAGACAAGGCATGGACCAAAAAAATTTATCAGGAGGATAGTGAAATGCAACTATTCTGTCAAGAAATGATGAGTTGGGCATGCAGGTGGTGCAGTGGTAAGCGTGCACAACCCATATACAGAGGCCTTAGTCCTCGATGCGGGCGACCTGGGTTCTCGGGGTCTCTCCCCATCTCTCATAGCCCCTTTGCTGTCAGCCTACTGTTGAAAAAACAAGCCACTAGTGCCTTAAAAAAACAGAAATTATGGGTTTGCAGCTATATTTATTTCAAATGAAAATTAATAACTCATTGGTAATATTCCCATAAATTTGTTGCGGTCTGGTCTAGTCTAGAGCAAGACTGTTAAACAATGTCTAACTTTTCTAAAGTACAATAAAAGGAGTTTTAGGAATTTTGATGGTCTAATATTCTCATAGGGATGTTTTTTTGGATAAACAGGTTGATTTCTCCATGGATACGGTAAATGGTTAATTACTCACGAGCCAAACAGCATTGCATGAAGCCCTGAGGAAAGAAAACAAAGCATTAATATAGAGCACATTTTCTTGTGTCTGTATTGAAGTGCTAGTTTAGGATTATTGAAGTGAGGCTCCATTAAAAGGTTGCAAGCAGTTCATATGTTTTCTACACTAGTTAGGACCCTTATTGTTTTAGCATAAATCTAAATCAGTACTTCTTTATAGCAGCATCTAAGGGGTAGTCAAAGACAGTCCGAGACCAAATTGGACTTTTACCATGATAAAGCAACTCCAATCCCCAAAACACTATTGGGTTCATGCATGTTTTAATCATGCATGTTTAAATCAGCATCCTCTTTGCATTGGGGGATTTTGAAGGTGTTGGACAAATAATTTTCCTGCCTCAAACCTTTTCTTATCTTATTGGTAACATCATTGTCATTATTATTTGCGTCACAGACTTCTTCCTCCCCCTGTTTATCTAATCATCGTCTCTGCAAACAATCACCCAGTTCAAATGAGGCAATTGCTGAAATGTTCATAAAGTAATAGATGTGCATGTTGGTATTTGGCTCTCTTAGACTAGATTATCTAAAGTGAATTCATACAAAATAAAGATAAAGACTTTAGACTTAGACAACTTTTTTTTTATCATTTTGTATACACAGTGTATACAAAAGCCAGAGTTACTGACTGCAAAATATCTACTGCTTATAACCTTTTTAAAGAACTTTTGATGTGGACTCACGAGGATTGCTGTTACTGTTGCGTATGATGTACACAAGTAACAGCACAGTGGGAATGGCTGCAAACAGCATCCCGCCAACGGCTGCTCCAACCACAGCAGGGTACATGTTGTCACGCAATTCAGCTGCAAGAAAAACAAAAGGTAAGTTCAACACAATAAATTCCAAGAAAGATAATCTCCAGCTGTAACATTCAGCATATGTCTTAGTTAGAAAATGAGAAACCTTCTGTGTGTTGTTGAATGAGAAATATCATCATCATCTCATTTTGGGGAATAAAGCAAATCCTTAAATAATTTGCTGATTTATGTAAAACACCTTTTGATTATTAAGCTACCTTCTTTATCCTATCCATATAGGTCCATCTTAAGCGTTTCAACACATTAAACAAAATTTCTGTGATTATATATACAAAACAGAAATGTTAAGAGATGTATTGAAAGAAGACAAAATAATGTCATAAGCCAGTGAAGACATACAGGAAAAATATTCTATAGATAAGCTGTTTCATAGCAAAAGGGCCAGTAAAATCAAAAATGTGTCTTCTACCTGGAGTCTTGGCTACAGAGGGGTGTCCAATCGTGCGATGGTTGATGGGTATTATGCGGAACTGGTAGGTAACAGTTGGAGTCAGTCCTCTTACTGTGTGACTCCTGGCATCTGGTTCCTGGATGATGGTGCGCTGCCAGTCTTGGGGACCAATCCTCTCTTCCATTCTCAGCTGGGATTCGTTGCTGCTTCCTCTTCTGTTTGGTCGCTCAGACACCCACTGGTGCTCCAGATGGAAACCAGTCCAACCTCCTTTCTCCTCCACACCATCTACCTGCCACTCCAGCTCCACCTCGTTACGATGTCGGCTGTTGTACGTCGCTCTGATCAGGGTTGCATTAGGTGGCATAGGGTATTCTGATTCAAAGGCAAAAGAAAAGAAAATATGCACTCTCAATAATTTTTCTATACATAAAAAAACTCCCAGAGGGAAACATTCTTTTCAAGAGAGATTAAAATCAGGTTCTTACTCTTGACCACCAGAGTTACATTGATTTCAGCGCCTCCCACTGCGTTTGAAGTGGAGCATCTATACTCTCCGCTGTCCTGCATCTCATCTGCGTCTCTCACTGTCAGGTTGGCCCAGGCGGTTGTTCGCAGCAGCATGTACTTTGAGGTGTCTCTGACATCTATGCCCTGATTGTTGAACCAGGTGATATCATTGGTTGGAAGGTAATTGGCTCTTAGATTGCAGGTGAGCTGTACGTCACTCCCCTCGTATACAGACACGACTCTGCGCTGCGTCAGCAACACAGGGGCCTCTATAAAAAAATGCATTAAGCATTAGAAAGATATAATCCTTATTTGTTATTGCACATGACATTGAAAGGGACTGACCCAATGTGAGCCTGCAGCTCTTTGCTTCCATCAGAAGTGGATGTTTAGCATAACAGGTATACGGTTTCCCACTTCGGGCGGTCCCATAACGGAGGACTAGGATGTTGGAGTTTTCTTGTCCTCCTTTGCTTTGTCCCCCTGGTCCCTCCCACCACACTAAGGCTTTTGGGGCCCCTCCATCCCAGGAGCAGGACAGCATGAGATATTGCTGATTGTTTGTAACATACGCAAAACACACTGGTTCTGCAGGGGGGAGATCTACAAGAGAATAAACTTTACAGCATTACGATCTCCTGCTTGTCAGCTTTGCTTATTTCTTGTAAACTTTTTACTTACATGTTTGTGTGCTGCATTCTGCCAGTTGTTTTCTTGTAGGATGTGCACCAAGGCATGTGAACAAGCTGTTGTTTGGTATCAGGCCTTCAGAGGTCAGCAAAATGGCAGAGCTGGTTTGCATATTACCTCGCTGCTCAGTTTCTACTTGTTCTTGTCCTGGTTTTATGATGTCTCCAGTCCAGCGGAGGGATGGGGAGGGAAATCCACCAGACCAGGAGCAGAATAGCCGGAGAGAAGTGTGATTCTGAGCTGATTCCACAGAGCAAGAGGGAGAGCCATCTGGAGGGTCTGAGGGTGGGGGGAAACTGATAAATTCTTAAAAATAGCTATTAATGGAGTTTAATTAGGATTTCCAAAACCCTTTAATAAGACAATTTCACAGCAAAAAAAAAAAAAAAAAAGTTCTCACTGTTTACAATATATTTGTCTAAATATGTATTACAGTTGACTTTTAGAAGTACAATATACATTTGCATTTGGCTGCTTTTAAGGATTATTTTAACAACTATGCAAGATGAATGTAATAAGGATGTTTAAAATGATCAATAAATCTTTTTCTAAGAAATCCAGGTACTGGAAAATAGCAAATAAGTTGCACTGATAAGCATATTAAACAGTGAGCCAAAACAGGAATAATAAACTCTGTAGTATTATTTGCACGTTATTACCAACCTGTAAGGATAGATACATTTTTATGTACACCTCCATTTTGACATAAGAGCATTTTGTCGTGTGCTGTACATACGCTGTATGTAGCAGACTGGAGCAACTTTGAGTCATTTGCGAGTTGTAAATGTTAATTAAAGCACACCTTATGGAGTTCCTCAGGGTTTTATTCCTAGACCACTTTTCTTTAATATCAAAAGGGTCACTTTTGTGCAGTCCAATGAATTTTACATGATCTGTTATCCTATAGATTTAGATGAAACACAACTCTGTATTTCCCTGTCCCCTCTAAAGAGCATTTCCCTGCTGTCAATAATTAATTAAGGCCATCATGTTAATAAGCGAGTATGTAGAATTTTCCCTCAAGCCCAATGTAGATTGGAAAGAAGTAATTGTTTATACTTGCAAGCATCCATGGTTTAGAGACCAGTTCCATGTGGATTTATTGAGGCTTTAATCGTGATCTTTGTATTTGATCACTGAATCAAGCAAATGCTTCAAATCAACTTTTCTAGCATAGCATAGAAAATAGAAAGAAATAGAAAAACAGAAAATCAGGAACTGCTATTCTAACCAACAGGCTTTAAAACAGGGGTTCCTAAGGGACCTGCATATTTTAGGTGTGTCCTTGTTGCATCACAGATTTAGAGTAATTTGATACAAACAAAAAAGGATAAAGCCTTACTTTGTCTCTCTCAAAATGTGCAGTAGGTTAATAATTAATTTTCTCATTGACATGTTTTCCAGTTTGGTGCAGCATAGTTTCAGACATCACACTCACAGTGGACTATAAGGCTGACAGTTTTCCTGGAGCGGGTATTTAAGTGGGAGTTTTGTGCCAAGCAGGTGTAGTCGCCAGTGTGGATACGGAGGATCTTAGTAATGGTGTACTTTGGCCCGGTGTACACCTGAGAGTTGTTGTAGAACCAGATGTACTGGCTGGCTGGATTGGACTGGGCTTGACATGACAAAGATACCGACTCAGTTTCCAGAGCTGAGTATCCTCGATCGGTTATCTGGTATGGAGTCACATCTATCTGAGGGACATCTGGGCCAACTGAGAAAAAAAGAGCATGAGCACAATCAAGACATGAATATTGTATATTGAAAATAGCATCAGAGTTTGCGAAAAAGCATATTTTTAATGTGGATAAAACCGGCTGTACCAGTTTTCAAATATTAATTTCTGGAACTTGCAAGATCTTTTCCTGGAACTTGGAGACATTCCTGGTAACTTTCCTTGAATCTAGCGGTTAGCTTATGGAACCTACCATCACTTCCATGGAACCGGAACCTTACTTCTCCAGAACTGACATACTATTATCTTCTTCCAGGAGCCAGTCTGTAATATGCAATGACCTAGGAAGGCTCCCTTACAGTACCAAGACAGTTTGTCAGTGCTTTCCTGGAACGTAGAAGTCAACTTCCTGAAATCTCCAGCTAAACATTGTAGAAACTGTATTGTATGTACTCGAAAGCTTCTTAAAACCCAAGTCGGCCTCGGCAGATGGCCGCTCACACTGAGCCTGGTTCTGTTGGAGGTTTCTTCCTGTTAAAAGGGAGTTTTTCCTCTCTAGAAAGTATTCTGGGTGTAAATTATTTTAATTGAATCATGGTTTAAAACAAATAAATCTTTGAGAGAGGAATAAATCTAAATCTGTCAAAACATAAAGAAAGGTATTCAGTTTGTGAAAAATATACAGCTATCTTATCTTTTTTAGATTTGACTGTGCCTTGAGAAATTAGGATAAAATGTTTCTTGTTTTGTTGATTTCGTCATATTAATCAAAACACTAAAGGGATATGGAGTCTTGAACTGATTTGGTGCTAAATATGTATGAAGCAGTTCATATCTTAACCGCACCTGATAACTGTGTTAACTATGGGATAAGAGTAAGATAACTATCAATAGAAATGTATGCGTAGGTGCCTAGATTTGTGAATTTTATTAAAAATATGTAGTTAAATCTAAGATATTTATTTGTTTCTTGTTGAACACACATACATAAATATGTATGAGATATATTTGGTGAAATATTGCTTTGAACTCATGTTCAGTTGTGCTTCATTTTTTAAATATGTGATTTGTACTTGTTTTGCAGTGTTATAACTTTAAAAACTTGTATTTGTAACTAATAAACCTGTTTTCCCACAGATGAAAGAAGGATTTGTCAAATGCTTTATGATAACATTCTCAACAGCAAAAAAAAAAAGAAAAAAAAAATTGGCCAAAAATATTCAAACTCCTTCAAATATCCATAAAGAAACAGAACTTATTGATACTCACAGATAATATCCAAAGAAACCCAGGCTGAACTCTCAGTGCTGATGAAGTTGCTGCCTACACAGCGGTACCGGCCGCTTTGGCTCCGGTTTATGCTGGTCATAGTGATACTGCTGCTGTTGCTGATCTGAGCAAATGTTATGTTTTCTCTTTGAATTTCACGTTGCCACACATACATGATAGGCTCAGTCCCATTTTCCACATTGCACTGCATCGCTACAGTAGATCCTTCCACTGGGGATCTGTTTTTTATCAGGATGGACGGTTTACTAACAGGGACTGTAAAAAAAAAAAACACAAATCATGCAACAAATCAGTCAGAAGTTATGTAAAGAACTCTTTTTATATATTTTACACAAATATACAAAATATTTAGGGATTATTAAAAGGTAACATGGCTGAAAGCAACAATTAAGAGAAAAAACTAAACTGGGTAAATATATCAAGAATTATGAAACAAACTGATCAAAAAGTCACATGATTGGAATTAATATGAAGATTTTTGCTGTAACTGTGTGACAAATACTGCAACGATTAAAAACAGAGAAGAAAATAAAAAAGATATAACTGTCAATATATGCTATACCTTAAATTAATTGCATAATAAAATATGAATTAAAACAAAATGCAGAAGCTTGCTTTGTATATTTTTCTTATAAAGCTATTTCACATAAAAGAGTTAATTTTTATGCTTATCATAGGACAGGTTTATATTTACTTTATATATATTTTTATATATTTAGTCCAAGACAACTAATCTTTTTGACCAATAAAGCAAGATTAAGTTATCTTTTTATGTTTTATAGTAATCTGTAAGATATGCATCAATTTTTTCTCTCTCACAAACTATTGCTCTTTCTTGTTCATTTCTGCTGATAATTGGGTTTTCAACAATAACACATAAAAGTAGTAAAATCTCTTCCAAGGAACTGTATTATTTCTGGTAGTACAGATGAACACATTGGCATTGCTGTGCGTTATACATATAACTATAGGCTGATGCATCGGTTAGCCCATATTTTGACCAATATTAACATTGTTTTGCATATCGACCAAAACCTGCATGTTTTCGCCCATTCATCAGTGCATTCAATAACCATCAGGATCGGCCTTAATAAACCTCTATCAGTCAATCTCTACCTGTAGCAGTTAATATCTTTCCACAGCTCAATGAAAACATTTGCTATCAGAAATTATTTTCTGTTATTCATGTTTATTATAAGAAATGATGGAGATTAAAACATCAGCAACTCTTGTCTGATTTCATAATCACAGGCTTTTTGTGATCATCACCACTGACCCAGTGTTAGTCCACAGGTTTTGGTTTGGACCAGAAGAGGGTGTTGAGCAAAGCATATGTAGGGCTTCCCAAAATGGAAGGTGCTGTAACGAATAATCAGGATATTGGAGCTCTCTTCTCCATCTTTGCCCTGACCACCTGCACCCTTCCACCACAGCAAGGCTTTCGGAACCCCTCCCTCCCAGGAGCAGGACAGGATCAGAAACTGTTTGTCATCCGACACATTGGCGAAACAAACAGGATCTCCAGGCGGAGTATCTAATGTAGGAGAAGTAACATGGTAAGATGTGCATGCTATTTTATATTGTATTCAATTTCCACTGGGCTTTCTGGACTTACATGTGTGTATGCTGCACTCCATCTGGTGCTTTAAAGCAGGATGAGCGCCATGACAGGTGAACAAGCTGCTGTTAGGAGTCAAACCTCCGGAGGGCAGCAAGATATTTGAACTCATTGGTTTTGTTTGCTGTTCTTTGTTGACCTGTTGTTGTCCTGTGGGGATCAGGTCTCCGGTCCAGTAGAGGGATGGGGAGGGGAATCCACCAGGCCAGGAGCAGAGCAGCCTCAGTGAGGTGTGATTCAGTGCTGGCTCCACAGAACAGTAGGGGGAGCCATTGGGTGGATCTATGGGGAATATATAGCTACAGTAAGTGACTGAGGAAGTGTGACATCATAGTTATTTGTGCATATTTACAAAGTTTATCTACAGCAATTAAACTAATTATAATTGCAGTAATTGCAATTTGTCTAAAGCAAATAGTAAAAAAAGCGTGACCCCATAGGGCATCATTTTCTTTCTGCATGGCTTAAAAATTAAACACTAATCAAAGGTTTCTGTCAATTTTTTGGCAATAGTTAGAAAGTATTCTGGGTGTAAATTATTTTAATTGAATCATGGTTTAAAACAAATAAACCTTTGAGAGAGGAATAAATCTAAATCTGTCAAAACATAAAGAAAGGTATTCAGTTTGTGAAAAATATACAACTATCTTATCTTTTTTAGATTTGACTGTGCCTTGAGAAATTAGGATAAAATGTTTCTTGTTTTGTTGATTTCGTCATATTAATCAAAACACTAAAGGGACATGGAGTCTTGAACTGATTTGGTGCTAAATATGTATGAAGCAGTTCATGTCTTAACCGCACCTGATAACTGTGTTAACTATGGGATAAGAGTAAGATAACTATCAATAGAAATGTATGCGTAGGTGCCTAGATTTGTCAATTTTACTCAAAATATGTAGTTAAATCTAAGATATTTATTTGTTTCTTGTTGAACACACATACATAAATATGTATGAGATATATTTGGTGAAATATTGCTTTGAACTCATGTTCAGTTGTGCTTCATTTTTTAAATATGTGATTTGTACTTGTTTTGCAGTGTTATAACTTTAAAAACTTGTATTTGTAACTTATAAACCTGTATTCCCACAGATAAAAGATGTGATGTCACATTAATATATGTTTTGGCAAGAAGAAACAAATGCAATATGAATTATACATTGACAGTTATTTCACCAAATCAAAAGCGGTTCATTCAATAAGCGTTTTTAACAGTAATTTTTTATGTCATGAGGAGTCTGTTAGCTCTAGCCTCCTGGTTAAAATAATCTGAATTTTTCGTAAGAAAAACTTCAGATTGAAAATCCTGGACTGAGCCCAAATAAATTTTAAATAAGCTGCAGGAATTTGCATGAAAGTGTTAACTGAAAACTAAAAAGGACACACATTTTGGGCTTTTTGTTATTAGATCCCTTATTCCCTTATTGGCTCTACTTTGAAGACAGAGAGTTTTATGATTAAAACCAGAAATAAAAGGCCTTCTTTAGAAAATAACACTATCAATTATATCAAATCAACAGAACACAGATTTAGAAAGCTCACATTTATCAGACGTTGCAGGTGTAATCAGATTTAAATCCACTTACAGGGAGGGAGCAATGATAGAAAAAGGCTTTTTTTCCAAAGTCATACTCACAGTAAACAGTCAGGGTAACAGTTTTCCGGGACTGCATGTTTAGGTAGGAGTTTAGACTTGTACAAGTGTAGTCACCAGTGTGCACACGGAGGATCTTTATGATGGTGAGTTGGGGTCCGGAGAAAACTTCAGAGTCATTGTAGGACCAGATGTACTGACTGGCTGGATTGGACCGGGCTTGACACGTCAATGAAACCGTCTCATTCTCCAGTGCTGCATATCCCTCTACAATAGTGGATGGAACCATATCTATCTGAGGAACATCTGGACCAACTGAGAGGAAATAACATCAACAATGTCAAGATATGCTCAGTCAATATTCTAACATTAGAGTGGAGCAGCAGTGATGTTGAATGTGGTTCAGTAATAACCCAAAGATGGTTTATTTATGTAATCAAATTTGTTCGGTTTTGATTAACTCTTGGCTAGAAATAAAAGCTAATTGAACTATTGTTTTCTGTGTTTTTATTGACTATCAGATTTTGGTATTATTTTTTTAAATAAAAAAAAATTTATTGCATAAAAGGCTGTCCATCAAGGTTTCAGATAAAATATAAAGTGTCTGGCAGAAGTAAGAAACCTAGATGTTTCTTACTTTTGTCTTCTTCAACCATAATCTCTGATGTATTTTATTGGGATTTGATATGATAGAAACAAATAATTGCATAAATGGTTTTATGTCTTAATCTTTGGTAAATAAAATCTGAAAAGTGTGGTATCCTTTTGTATACAGCTCATATTTTGCAATACACAGCAGAACTTCCTTTGCTGCAAGTATAGTTGCAGAGCAATATCTGTTCTACTGACTTGAGGATTATGACACATTAAAGTGTTTTGATTCAAAAAGTTAGACCATAACTCTGATGTCTTTTTGTACTTCTAAAAGGTGACCTCCACCCCAGCCTCATTTTTATTGCATGCAACATGCAATGTTTCCTTAAGAAACACAAGAAAATTTATCAGCTACATCCTTCACAATTTTTCAAATCCCTGCAGAAAAAAGGGCTTGTTTTGTGTTGGTCTGTTCAAATGAATTCCAATAAAAACTAATTTTAAAGTTTGAGGTTGTAATGTAAAGAAAAATGTTTTTTTGGGGTAGGAAGTTTTTGTAAGTACAGTGGGGTTCAAAGTAAGTGAGGCAAACTGAAGAAAATTTTACAAATGCAAAACAAACCAAAAAAAAATGAAAGTTTTAGTTTTAGAATGTGATAATGAAATGATAAATAAGTGTAAAACACAGGGAATATATTTAGTAGTCTTTATTCACTGTGTGTTTTTCTCTGAGCCTATTAAACATTAAAGTTTTATAGTAACAATGAGGTGATCAGTTAAAGTATGCATTTCATTTTCATACCTTAGAAGAAATAATGAAAAAAATTACCTTAGAAGAAAAAAACATGGGGATACATACATGTGACGTTGAGCCATATTTTTTCTGAGCTCTCACTGTTCACAGCGTTGCTTGCAGCACAGCGGTACCAGCCAGTCTGGTTACGGACAATGTCTGAGATATTAATGAAACTGCCTCCACCCTGTGAAAATGTCTTAAAGGTTCCATTATAGAGCTGATGCTGCCACACATAATATATTGGCTCCGTTCCACTTTCTAGGTTGCAGCGCATCCAGACTGTAGATCCTTCCTTTGGAGATGTATCACTCATCAGGAGGGATGGCTTGCTGATGGAAACTACATCAGAGAGATAATCCCAGATGCAGGAAAACAGAAGACAAATATTGTTAACTATAAGAGGAGGTTTTTTTTAATCATACGTTGTACTCTGTGGGAGACTTTTGGTCCATAGAATTTGCATGACTGTGAATCAGATTATGTAATATTTAAACTATCTTTTGGTTATTTTAAGTTCAGCAGATGTTCAGACTGTGTTAGGGGTTCCAAACATAGCATATTTTAATCAAAGGTATCAGAAGTATGTATAATGAAAATCATCCCCCAATACTCCAAGAAGTTTTGTATTTTGTGCCAGTTTTGAAATGCAACTGCTTATTTCTTTTTTTGTTTGCTTGAAAAACTGTTTTAGAAGTCCTTTTATTGATTTAACAAGCTTGTTTTAGTTGATAAATTATTGGCTTTCACTAATGTTGTTCTCCAAGAAAGAGAGATTTAATTTGGTGCTAAAGCTTCTAGTGTGTCTGTCATATCCTGTTCTGTGTGATTTGTTCAGATTTTCACAGTTGCCTGGGAAATAACAGCTTGAAAAAAAGTTATTAAATTCAATTAAAATCAAAGAAAAGTGTTTAAAACACCTTTTCTGTTAGCTCTATCTTGACAGCAATAAAAAACTCTACAAACCTAATAATTAGCAGTCAACTTGGCACTGAAACAGCCAAGATGTAGGCTTAGGATTGTGTGATTTTGGTCAAATTAATGTTCATTACCTCATGAAAAAAACTACACGTTTGGGGGTCATTATTTCTTGCTCTGCACAGGTATGATGAGGACTAACCCAGTGTTATGCTGCAGGTCTTTGCTGCAGCCAGAAGTGGGTGTTTTGAGTAGCAGGTATAGGGTTTCCCACTGTGTGCGGTCCCATAGTGGAGAACAAGGACATTGGAGTTCTCTTGTCTTTCCTTGTTTTGGTCCATCGGACCATCCCACCACACCAGAGCTTCAGGTACCCCTCCATTCCAGGAACAGGACAACATCAGATACTGCCTATCAGCTGTCACATTGGTGAAACAGACTGGCTCTGCAGGGGGGATATCTGGGATGAGGAAAAAAAGACGATATGAAGAGTTTTTTTCATAGTATTTTGTTATCACAGTTTTATTTCCATGCTTACATAAATGTTTACTGCACTCTTTAGGTTGTTGTAGAGCAGGATGGGAGCCCATGCATGTAAACAAGCTGCTGTTGAGATTTAGACTCTCAGACGAGAGCATGATGACATTGCTAGTTAGTAGATGTGATTGTTGCCCTGAGTTGAACTTTTTTTGTCCTGTCTGTATTGGCTCTATGGTCCAGTGGAGGGATGGGGTGGGAAATCCTCCCAACCAGGAGCAGAGGAGCCTGAGAGCAGTGTGATTCAGAGCAGGTTCCACAGAGCACATGGGGGCACCATCAGGAGGGTCTGCAGGGAAAAAAACGCATGTAGTCCATATATATCTACACTGGTTAGGGCTTAAGATAGAGGGTTTGAGAGTAAGGCTTTAAAAACCAGGAAACTAAAATCAATTGTTGAAAATATGGTGAATGAAAACAACAACTGACACAGGAAAGCAACAGTTGATGGATAGATGTTACACTCACAGTAGACAGTCAGGCTGAGAGTTTTGTTGGACTGACTGTGGAGATGTGGGTTCTTGGCCAGGCAGGTGTAGTTTCCAGCATGGGTTCTGAGGATTTTGTTGATAGTGAACTCTGGTTTGGTGTTAATTTGGGAGTTGTTGTAAAACCAGATGTACTGACTGCCTGGATTGGATTGGGCCTGACAGTACATGGAAACAGTCTCATTCTCCAGAGTGGAGTATCCATGCGTGATTATGTGGTATGGAGTTACATCTATCTGAGGTTCATCTGGACCAACTGAAAATAAAGAACATGAGCAAGGGGGAAAAAAAAATTACTTCCCAAAGGACTTCTGAATTGTTTTTAAAAGCAACACTTGTGGATTCAGTACTTTGATTCTTTAATTGTGTGTTAAACATATACCTGGAAGATGTAAATCATATAAAAATCTTTACATAGTTTCAGAATTCTTCTATTTTGAGAAAACATGGTTATTGCCTAGCATGCAAAAAGAGGAGCATTTTAAATAACACAGAACTAATTTAGAATGATTACTGAGGGAAATCAGGTGAAAGAGTAAAAAAAAAGAAAAAAAAGGGGGAACCTAAGGATGACATTTCTGAAAATATAGTCTCACATGACAAAACTACAAACTATGGATATTTGCACCGAATATCGGAGAGATTAAAGAATAAAAATTGATGGGAATGAGCAGAATATTATCTTACTAAATCCTGGTCTATCTGAAGGCCTGTTTTTCCCAAAAAATAAACAGAAAAATCCCAAATACTTGCATGTGACATTTAATAATAGCCAGTCAGAGGTCTCATTGTTCACTGCATTGCTGACCCCACAGTGGTACCAGCCTGTGTGGTTCCGACTGACGCTGGTCATAGCCACGCTGCTGTGGTTGCTCTGTGAGAAGTTGGAGATGTTTCCTTCAAGAGTTTTATGTTGCCACGTGTACTGGATCGGTTCAGAGCCATTTTCCACACTGCAGTTCATCCATATTGTAGATCCTTCCGCTGGAGATGCTTCACTTATGACAGGATATGGCTTGCTGACTGGAACTGTATTTGAAACAGAATATGAATGATATTTCAGGAGTGAAACATGCTAATTTAGGAATTTTAAAAGTTGTTTAAAAAAGCAAAACTGCTATATCTGTCATTAAGACAGGAGAAATTAAAAATGTCACTTAGGGGCTGGGAGGAAATGAGCTTTACAGAAATAAAGCAGCCTTCTAGAGGGAATCTTACCTTGGACAGTCAGATGTACATAATAGTAGTAAACTATAGGCTCATCTTCGATGTCATAGAAAGCCTGGCAGGTGAACAAGCCTTGAGCAGCCAGAGGAAGTTTTTCAATGCTTATAGAGGCTGTGTTTGGTAGGATAGTCAGTGGCCCTACCATCTTAGCCAACTTCTGCATCCTAGGTCCTTTCCCCAAATCATATAGCACTGCTTTGATGGCTTCAGCACCAGGCTTAGTGAAGCTCCATATGTATAAGTCGGGCAATGCTTCTCCACATTCCAGAACCGCAGATTTGTCCACCACCCCATAGACGCTGTTGTCACGATACACCACCTCCCCCGTGTGATTGATCTGAAGAGCTAAAGAAGAGAAATGGAACCATGAAATGCTCATATGATGCATGTGCTTGGGCTTATGCATGCTACAGAAACATAGATGGAGATGTGATGTGGTTTAGCTTTGTTCAGCTGCAGACAGGGTGGATTACATTTTTACTTCTTAACTTGACAAATAATAATCATTGTCAAATAAAAAATTAATTCTTAACTTTGAAATGACTTGGAAATTGTCAAAGATTTCACTTTGATATTATTACTTGACTTGCTGCATCATTTTCAGTCATAAGGGAACCAAATAAGCAATAAATAAACTGTTTATTTCTAACTGTAAAATTATAGTTTATTTTAAATAAAAACAGACAGACAGACAGACAGACAGACAGACAGACAGACAGACAGACAGACAGACAGACAGATAGATAGATGATGGATGGATAGATAGATAGATAGA